TTTTTTTTTTTTTTTTTTTCTTTCAATAAAAGCCTGGAAGAAAATAATGAAATGCAGCAGAAAAATTTCATAAAATGCCAAAGAAGCAACAGCCGACATAAACCAAAAGAGTTTTACGGACATAAAATAACATATTACGATTTTATTAAAAGATTTTATTTATAACTCATCCACACTAACAGTCTATCTTATTTTAATTTTAGCTAGTTTTCTATTTTCTCCAGCTGATAGCTAAACGGAATTGAAATGCACATTGCAACAAAATAAATCTAAAATTCAGCCTCGAACACCATATCAACAGACATTAACAGCCAAAAAAACGAATGAAAGCAAACCTACAGCCTCAAATACACATCAAAGCACACACACAAATACGAAAAAATAAAAAAAAAATATATCGATTATTTCATGCATTTATCAGTGCTGTACACTGCAGTACGTAAATGATAAAAAACCAAGAATAAAATAATGCCTTTTTTTTTTGTACTTCACCATAAAACCCTTTTTTTCAGTAAGGTTTTCTGCATAATCAACAAGTCACGAATGCAATAACATTCCCTTACTTTTTCTCCTTCCTTTTATTTAATAACCTCCTTTGCTATTAACACTTCCAACTGTATACAATTACAGAGAAAATAAATTTTAACTTTTACACAGATCTACAATGTTGCTCATGGAATTTGTTTCACATGTGAAACAACAACAATAACTGGACCACTACCAAAAAAAAAAAAAAAAGCAAAAAACTTCATTCATGGACATTTAATAGCTTCCTTGATAGACCTTGACAAACACCTTCCCTAAAGTACATCTTAGACAATCTTTTTCATACTGTCCAGGAAGGAATTTTAGCAGACATCACTCGGAAGATGAGTATTTACCACCACCCTTGCCGATTTGTTCCTCCTTACACTTAAGTGCCGATAAAAAAAACCCGTCATCACCAACAAACAAAAAAAGGAGCTTTTAAAATTAACCAAATAACTGGTTATCCAACAAAAACAGTAGTGCTTTACAAAGAAGAGGAAACTAATTAAGGATGAGAAACAGTAGGACAAAACATTACAGGAAAAAACACAAAAAAAACCCCAAAAACAAACTACCTTCCTATCGGTCATAAAATAACAGTAAAAAAAAACTAGCTTGCATAGCAAACAAACCAACTACTCACAGGAAATAGAAAGTAAAAATTTTTTACGTTTTTTTTCGAAACATGGGTATAAACAAATGAAAAACGTATATCTGATGAATGGGAAGGTCTCTCTACTGCCTTTAGCGCTTCTCTTTAATTAATGAGTCATCATATTGTGTTACCCTTTCCTAGTACAGAATGGCGTCTCAAACAAATGCAATTGCGTGCTCTTGCTTCGTTTTTTTTGTTTTCTCTCTTTTTTTTGTGTTCATTACGAAAGACATTCTCATAATGCACTATTAGCCTATCTGAAAAGCTCTAGAATTTTCTAGACTCTGTTTAGAAACTGAACTGGGCTAGTTTTTGGTAGAAAACATTGCTGTACCATTGGTTGCTCATCCGTATACGTACGCACAGTGATATCGACCACACCAGATAAGAAATTTCGTTCCCTGATTGAGGTCATCAGCTGTTTCGAAAGGACAGTCTACGAAACAAACCGGACAACTCAGAGACA